CAGGGACATTATAGGTCTGCTTAGTGTGTGTGGCCGGAATACCTAGCAGGGACAGTATAGATCTGTGAAGTGTATGTGGCCGGAATACCTAGCAGGGACATTATAGGTCTGCTTAGTGTGTGTGACCGGAATACCTATCAGGGCCATTATAGGTCTGCTTAGTGTGTGTGGCCGGAATACCTAGCAGGGACATTACAGGTCTGCTTAGTGTGTGTGGGCTGTATTAACTGCAGACTTATTCCGGTGTGTAGTGTTTCTTTTCCCATTGGACTGTCAGTAAAGTTTACGGACCTAACCTAGCACAAGTGGAGAAGTGTAAGCAATATTACAAAATACAGTTTACAGGTTACTAACCTACGTCATAGACGGAGATCACGGACACTTTCCGCCGCCAATCACGCCGCTTCATGGGTCACATTTCCGTACAAACTGCATTTAAAGTATTTAACTCAACTCCCATCTAAGGGAATAAAGGCAGAACATGTATTGGTCAAATGAAGGCAGAACATGTATTGGTCAAATGAAGGCAGAACATGTATTGGTCAAATGAAGGCAGAACATGCATTGGTCAAATGAACGCAGAACCTGTATTGGTCAAATGAAGGCAGAACCTGCATTGGTCAAATGAAGGCAGAACATGTATTAGTCAAATGAAGGCAGAACATGTATTGGTCAAATGAAGGCAGACCCTGTACTGGTCTAATGAAGGCAGAACATGTATTGGTCAAATGAAGACAACCTGTATTGGTCAAATGAAGGCAGAACCTGTGTTGGTCAAATGAAGGCAGAACATGTATTGGTCAGATGAAGGCAGAACATGTATTGGTCGAATGAAGGCAGACCCTGTATTGGTCGAATGAAGGCAGAACCTGTATTGGTCAAATGACGGCAGAACCTGTATTGGTCAAATGAAGGCAGACCCTGCATTGGTCAAATGAAGGCAGAACATGTATTGGTCAAATGAAGGTAGAACCTGTATTGGTCAAATGAAGGCAGAACCTGAAATGGTCAAATGAAGGCAGAACCTGTATTGGTCAAATGACGGCAGAACCTGTATTGGTCAAATGAAGGCAGACCCTGCATTGGTCAAATGAAGGCAGAACATGTATTTGTCAGATGAAGGCAGAACATGTATTGGTCAAATGAAGGTAGAACATGTATTGGTCAAATGAAAGCAGAACCTGTACTGGTCAAATGAAGGCAGAACCTGTACTGGTCAAATGAAAGCAGAACATGTATTGGTCAAATGAAGACAGAACCTGTATTGGTCAAATGAAGGCAGAACCTGCATTGGTCAAATGAAGGCCGAACATGTATTGGTCAGATGAAGGCAGAACATGTATTTGTCAAATGAAGGCAGAACATGCATTGGTCAAATAAACGCAGAACCTGTATTGGTCAAATGAAGGCAGAACATGTATTAGTCAAATGAAGGCAGAACATGTATTGGTCAAATGAAGACAACCTGTATTGGTCAAATGAAGGCAGAACCTGTGTTGGTCAAATGAAGGCAGAACATGTATTGGTCAGATGAAGGCAGAACATGTATTGGTCAAATGAAGGTAGAACATGTATTGGTCAAATGAAGGCAGAACATGTACTGGTCAAATGAAGGCAGAACATGTATTGGTCAGATGAAGGCAGAACATGTATTGGTCAAATGACGGCAGAACATGTATTGGTCAAATGAAGGCAGAACATGTACTGGTCAAATGAAGGCAGAACCTGTACTGGTGAAATGAAGGCAGAACCTGTACTGGTCAAATGAAGGCAGAACCTGTACTGGTCAAATGAAAGCAGAACATGTATTGGTCAAATGAAGGCAGAACCTGTACTTGTTAAATGAAGGCAGAACATCTATTGGTCAAATGAAGGCAGAACATGTATTGGTCAAATGAAAGCAGAACCTGTACTGGTCAAATGAAGGCAGAACCTGTACTGGTCAAGTGAAAGCAGAACATGTATTGGTCAAATGAAGACAGAACCTGTATTGGTCAAATGAAGGCAGAACATGTATTGGTCAAATGCTTCTTGTTTAGCTTGAGTGATATGGTTTTTTATCACACTTTTCGAGTTAGTAACAAAGGTGAAATATAAGTTAGTAACCGTGGCAAAAATGATATAAACATTTCCACCAACTCCAAAAGTGGCCAGATGACTAGTTATTAAAATTCCACCCAAGTAAATGTAAAGTACTCCATATCACAGAATCTATACTGAATGACGGAAGCTATCATCTCGTGTACCAGAATAGCGAGACCACTACACTAGAAAGTATTACCAGTGCAAAAGATTTAGGTGTAACGGTAGATGATAAGCTAGACTTTAGAACACATATATGCAAAATTTTAACAATAAAGACAATTCCGTTCTGGGCATCATAATATAAGAAGATCATCTATATAGATGAATTCATGTTTAAACATTTGCGCACGGCATTGGTAAGACCACATTTGGAATATGCGGTAAGCGCATGTATCCCGTTCAAATTAAAAGACATACAGCTGATAGAGCCGAATGTACGGCAGAGAGCCACCAAACTTGTACCAGGACTGAACGAACTTTCCTACAACTCCTAACATTGAAGTACCACAGTTTTTAAAATAGTTAACAATCTATTTGATGAAAGAATCACCTCCAATCCATAAACCTTCGATATAAATGGAAGAACACGAGGTCACAATCACAAAATGTACAAAAAAAAACACCAAGGCAACACAGAGTTAAGGAGAAACTAATTCCCAATCTACCTGTACATGTTGTTAATGCTATGAAAACAATAAGGGAGTTTGAAATATTGATTGATGACAATTTTAAAGAAACAATTTATGACACATGAAACACAATAAAACTATGATTCACATATTTATAATGTTGTTACTGACACTCCTATAGTCTGTGTGTTGAGTATTTGTTGATATATATGGACATAGAGATTATATATATGTATAATTATAAGCCTTTAAGTATATCAGGGACGTATAATACAACACGTCACATATCCTAGATATATGGCTCATATAAAGCTTGTTAGAAATATAATGTAATATTTGAAAACGTTTTTGAAATACAATAACGAACGAGAGAGGATCAGTGCCGGTGTCATGAAAGGTATTCCCTCGCACATCACAGCCGCCGTTTTTTCAGAGCTCAATTATCAAACTTTGCAAATATTTGTAAAAATCTTATTTGAAAAGGCTGTCTAGAAATATTATGTCTGAATAAATATCTGAAGATGTTTTTGAAATTAAATAATGAATTAGAAAGGAGTTCGTGTTTTAATGTCGTCAAAGCCGCCATTTTAACTTGTTTATTCTTAAAAACCTGTATTTTCATAGCTAAATTATGAAACTTTGCAAATATGGCGTAGGTGAAGTGTAACTCGCGATAGGACATAGAGAATAATACACGCCTTTTTCCATATCACACCCAGTATCAACCCGAGACTGCAATATCAGCCCAAGGGCCGAAGGCCCGAGGGCTGATATTGGTCGAGGGTTGATACCGGGTGTGATATGGAAAAAGGCGTGTTTTATTCTGTTTATTACACACTTACTAATAAAAACTACTATCTTATGAAAAACGATTTTTTTTCTCCAAAAGGGGTGTGATATGGGTTTTGCGGGGTGATACGGGTTTTGGGGTGTGATACGGCGGGGGCTGATACGGGGTTTGGGGGGTGATACGGCGAGGGCTGATATGGGGTAGAGCAATTGTGTCGTATCGCATATACAAAAAACCCGTATTTATTAGTAAGTATGTAATAAATCCGGTTATATTACCAGTGACCAATGGTTAGGCCAAGAGCAAGTTGCCAATCTCTGTTATATACGTCTCTGCCCTGATCAGTATATATATTATTCGCGTTCAGACTGCACTGTAACATATGTCACTGGTCAGGAAATCACAAAACAATGTTAACGACTCTAGCAAAATTCTACATCTATGACTAGCAATAGTTATTAACATGCGATAAAAAATGTGTTTCGTAATGGTTGTAAAATAAATGAGACTGAACTCCTCATCCGGAATATTAGACATGTCGGCTTCGGACATTGTACACACAATTTCGACTTCCGGTACTTCTGGATGATGTTTGTGTTGATGAGAGCAGAAGATATTTAACTTCTAACATTTGAATGGAAAGTTTAACCTAGCGTTATGGAAAGAGTTTGTATGTCTCGACATTTGCAGGAGGTACTACGTACCTGTAGGAGACGAAATATCAGTGTGTCATATGGCGGACTAGTAGTACATGGCTTACGCAACTACTGTAGGTCACCACATGCCCTACATGGAGATGCATACAAACATTGCCAAAGTGTAAGTTGGTTTAATCATATTCAGCCTCCAAGTACCATAGCTGTGTTGTTAGCAAATCAGAAGCTCTATACACATTTTAAAATTGAAGTGTTTCCTTACTGTAACAGTTACTGGAGCACCGGCAAATCTGGTTTTATAGTCAAATATGACTATACGTATATATATATATATATAGGACGAATGTAAACAAACACACCACGTATGTATTTAGGACGAATGTAAACAAACACACCAGTACTGGTCGTAATTAGTTATCTTGTGCACCTTGATTGAAATGTTGACCAAACAGGTGCGAGTCGGTGAAATGGAATATTTTTACCTAAAAACTCAATTTCCGTTAACTTTGTTGAATGTCACCGTTGCAATTCTTGGTACTTGCATCTTGTTGAGACAGGAATATTAACGATTTCTGTACCAAAACACGAAATATTTCACTCCCTTCCGACACATGTACAACTTTCAATGCATGTGTTGATCCGAAAGTACGCCTCACCTGGGGATGAATCTGCATCATCTGGATGCTTATCTTCAGTAACACATTTAGAAGACACCATATTAAATAGACATAATAATAAATAATAATAATAATCTTTATTTAACGTGGTGTACAATTGTCAACAACAAACATATATTTATAAGCTCCGTAGAGCTTTTATTACGACGACGCTAAGGGAACAAATGATGTTTTCGTGGTGGAGGAAAACCCACGGGGGGAAACCACAGTGCCATCGGAGGGATAACAACTATCCCTATCAGACATCACTCTCTTTTTTCCCACCACCGCTGGGGATCAAACCGAAATTCTTGGGATAGCGAGTGGTCTGAAGCTCACGCTTGATAGCACACAGTAGTACAATGACTGTGCATGTTAGCGATCACGGCTACCGAGACATGCTATAGTTTGTATCTAAATATATGTGATGTATATATATGTTGGCAGGACTCGCACAACTAAATAATTTACTATAAGTTATTACTTTTAACACTAACGGATAATTTATTATTTCCTTTGCCATTACAAACACTAGGTTTGTCTTAGGAACCAGATTTGTTTAAATTGTGCATAACTAACGTGACTCTGATTTACAGGTAGGCCATACAGATATTAAATAAGATAAGGATTACTCCCCGACCAGAAATAACATATACATGTCAAATTTTTGAAATCCCCATGGGGGATTTCAAAAAATTAAAACATAGATAAGATGTGTGTATACACACCAACTAAAGACAAAATAACCCTTTAAAATGACATTTTGAGTTATTCTTTTAGATGAAATATTTAGACCTTAGAATATATGAACAATTAATATAAGCATATTGACTGATTGAAAACATTGACTTATTGAAAACACTAAATTTAAGGATCCAAATCAGGAGTCTCCCTCCTCAATAAGGATCAAGGGTTGGCAAGTATAAATCCAAGTTACCTATAACTATCACTGGATCAACCAGGAGCTCTATCAATCGTACCTTTTTGGTTGATGTCTGATCCGAAACAGAAAAACTGAATTGTGAATGCACAGCTTTATATTCTAATCCCCCTTCATAGGCGCAAGCCCAGCAACACGGCCAATTGACATTGCATGTCCATAGGGGCAGTACTAGTGCCTGCGCCAAATCAGCAGTAATTCACAAGCGGCGGTTCTTTCCCCGATTCCAATGGTAAAGTAAGCTAACTAAAGTTATACATCACACATTAATCAGGGTGCCACAGCCCCTTTATTGGGATAACAGTTTCTGATTATAGTTACTGTTGTATTGCTGTTGTATTGCTGAAATGGATGAAAATATAAAATAAAAACACAAAATTCTTAAATTATTAGGAGCAAATAGGTTGACATTTTCAACATAAACCTATTATATAAGATGAGGTTTAACAATCGTACACAAAACTATAGGTTAGTTCTGATGTCCTACCTTTTTTATTAATCCCAAAAAATAATGCCTCTGTTAAAAGCTGAGTGGCTGTAAAATAAAACCTAGAAAATCTCATGTTCGTGTTCAAAGAAAATCTCATGTTCGTGTTACATAGAAAATCTCATGTTCGTGTTACATAGAAAATCTCATGTTCGTGTTACATAGAAAATCTCATGTTCGTGTTACATAGAAAATCTCATGTTCGTGTTACATAGAAAATCTCATGTTCGTGTTACATAGAAAATCTCATGTTCGTGTTACATAGAAAATCTCATGTTCGTGTTACATAGAAAATCTCATGTTCGTGTTACATAGAAAATCTCATGTTCATTTTACATAGAAAATCTTATGTTCATGTTACATAGAAAATTTCATGTTTGTGTTACATAGAAAATCTCATGTTCGTGTTACATAGTAAATCTCATGTTTGTTTTACACACAAAATCTCAGGTTCGTGTTACATAGAAAATGTCATGTTCGTGTTACATAGAAAATGTCATGTTCGTGTTACATAGAAAATCTCATGTTCGTGTTACATAGAAAATCT